AGAACTATTTATCTTATCCCCACCTCACACACACACACACACACACACACACACACACACACACACACACACACACACACACACATTCAAGAAAAGAATATCATTAAAATCAACTTAACATAAATGAGTGTGCAGCCCAGAAATTAATTCTCGGGAAGCAATTGTAAGTCATATATATAGGCATATTGCTCAGTTAGAGGACTGGGAAACTGCAGCAGCGTTAAAATAACGTTGTGTATATAACAATTGTAAAGCTCCTCTGTCACGACGTAATATGGGTTCTCAACTTACCCTTGTCTGTCAGTTCTGATGTAGGTAATTACACCCTGGCAGTCAGGCTGGGATATTGGGGTCTGTATTACGGTGGATAGTTTCTTGTAGTAGGGCAACGTGTATTTTCCTTGGGTACAAAAGATTAGAAATTTCTATTTTCTTGTTTTCGATGCCGCAAACATTGAGCTGGAGTGGTCGAAATTGTACTATTTTCCCAATAGCTGACTTTTCACCTGCAGCCTGGGTGGTCACTGCCTTGCGTGGGTCTTGATAAACGTGGCGTCGCCGGAGTTTGTTTGTGTGTTTTTATTTTTGTTTTGTTTTGATTTGGTTTTTGTTTTGGTTTGTTTGTTGTTGCTTTTTGCCATGTTTACTGGGGAACCTGTGGCTTTTCTTCCCACCAAGGGCTGTGGTCTACCAGAAGTCCGGTACATCTGGCATTGAGATCCCAGAGCTACAAGTTCTGTCTCTCACATGAGTGGGGCAACGCACTGAGAGAGACTGACTTCTATTTTACATGTGGTTAAGGCACGATCCATTACCCAGGCTGCAGGTGAAAAGTCAGCTATTGGGAAAATAGAACAGTTTCGACCACTCCAGCTCAACGTTTGTGGCATCGCAAACAAGAAAATATAAATTTCTCATCTTTTGTACCCAGGGAAAATCCACGTCGCATTACAGAGACTCGTTGTCCTTCATGTTTGGTTATCACGCCGGCTCGTAACTTTTATGTAAGGCTTAAATAGCCCGTGCCACGAGATGGAGCTTATCTACGGAGGCCTTACCAAACCCGACCGGTCAGTGGTGACGTCAGCCTACCCGACGAATTCAGCTTTTGCCCACAGAGCGCAATGACGGCTTCTAATTGCCAATTGGCCTCTCTGTTTCTTACAAAGGAAGGACACGTCTGCAGTACAAATACATATTAATATTTTACATAATTTCATCCGTTAAATTTATCCTTCAACCTGACTCTTATTACTGCCTACATCTATTTTTAAATCAGAAACCTAATCTTTGATTAAAGCCTACAGAATTTTAAACCATCCATGGTTCTGTTTGGTGATATTCGTCAGCTTCTTCCCGGAGTTACCTTACCTGGCCAAGACTCCGGGCTGGCTATCCTGCACCGCCCAGTTGGAATATTATTATAGAGGGGATTGAGAGAGAAGCGCCTCGTTAGGCTTTCCGAAATCTGCGCTTAAAACACTCTCCCCTCTCCCCTTTTTCACTTTTACCCCTGAAACTATAATGTCTGTCATTAGCATTTGACACGGTTCCTCACTTAGAGCAGTGTTCCGAGAAATGAGAAGAGCAATGAACAAAACTTTTGAATTTGATTGGAAATTGTTGAGTGCTAGATTTGTTCACTGTGTGTGACGTGTGGGTGTGTTTTAGTACAGTGTACAGTATCTGATTCTAGATTTCATCTGAATGGGACAGCGTCTTTGGTTAGGTATCAACTGACAGCAAACAGGTTTCATATTTCTACACGGCGAGTGCACGTCGAGACTTTGTATATATGTGTGTGTGTGTGTGTGTGTGTGTGTGTGTGTGTGTGTGTGTGTGTGTGCGTG